GTACATCTTCGCTCGACCTCTGGAACTTAAAAATAACCATTCGGCATTGGTTCCGTTAATAATATCCAAATTTTTTTTAAACATAAAAAATATGAAGAATTTCTTTTAGTTCTCTGGCACCACCTATTATGTATACTATTATAACTTAGTATTTAAAAATTGAGACGAATTTTTAATTACTGGTTAAATATTTCATTACTTTTACACTAATTCTTTTGGAAGAAGTCATCTTTGTTCGAATTCTGCGAAATATTTATTTGTTTACTGGCACATGCATGCAATAAACAATACAAAGATAGAGAATGCGTTGCAATAATAAGAGAAAAATCTGTATCTTTTCTTGTTAAGAATGGAGAGACCCAAGTGTAGCCTAGTGGTTAGCGTGCCCGGACTATGAGCTCTAACATTCGCGTTCTATTGTCGCAAAAACACCACCCACACTTTTGAATTGTGGGTGTACAGTAAAATTAACACCGGAATCCTGCTATTCGTTAAGATAAAAGTAGCCCAAGAATTGGCGATAGACAGGTGCTATATATATATATACGTGTGACAAACACTCGCCACGAAATAAATGCTGATCTACGAGGGTTAAGTTCATCTTCAAGTTTGTTTCAGAATGTCAAGCTAAACCATATCAGGACTATCCGCGCACAGCCGTTCCTGAGTTTTAATTGATATATTTGAGGGAATGCGAGTAGTCGCAGCATCTACTACCAACTCTTTGGCTATTCATGTCTGATCGAATTCTTGGATTTAATTGTAGTTTTTGTATCAACCCAAGGCGTCAAAACGCGGAGCGCATATTTACGGATTTCACAGTCTGGGTAAGCAACTCACGCCCGGCCTCTTAAAGTCGGTAAAAACAACTTACCTACTCCTAACTCGAATAATATGGCGCCCTCTATCTTACTATGATCGATAAAGCGACCGAAGATACGCGAAGAATAACGACTGAATTAATCGGGTTAACCTTCTCCAAACTCTTTTAGCTGTCACTTCAGTAGTCCGGTAAAAGAGAGGGCGTCGACCCCTTTCTCCCCACCAGTTGTTTAACTTTCAACCCGTAAAATCATAATACTCTTTCAAACATAAGTTCATTACGTTATACATATTTAATAGTACTTTTATACATCTAGTACGTTTCTGTGAAAATAAGATAAACATATATATAACTTGTGTTATTTTAATCGGCATTTGGGACTTAGACTGCATTGTACTTTTTGATGTAACTGAAACACTTTTACTAATAAAAACACTGGAAGGATAAAAAAGTTTAGCTGCTTTGACTTTTGCTTACTCCTAAAATCCATCTTATTTCAGCGTTATTTCTTGTTTCAATTTAAGTGTATCTAAACGCAACAGTTAGTATTTGTATTAACAACAATTTTTTTCAAACGCAGCTTAACCAATTACGCGTTATTGGCGTTGAATCTAGTATAGATTGCATCTGCCTTTGGCGTTGAATCTAGTATAGATTGCATCTGCCTTTGGCGTTGAATCTAGTATAGATTGCATCTGCCTTTGGCGTTGAATCTAGTATACATTGCATCTGCCTTTGGCATTGAATCTAGTATAGATTGCATCTGCCTTTGGCGTTAAATCTAGTATAGATTGCATCTGCCTTTGGCGTTGAATTTAGTATAGATTGCATCTGCCTTTGGCGTTGAATCTAGTATGGATTGCATCTGCCTTTGGCGTTGAATCTAGTATGGATTGCATCTGCCTTTGGCGTTGAAACTAGTATGGATTGCATCTGCCGTTGGCGTTGAATCTAGTATGGATTGCATCTGCCTTGAGTTTCGAGGTGAAGGAAGATTCAATCTCCTTTTGTGAGGTTTTCGTCAAATCGCAAGAAAATGGTAGTGACATAAAGATAAACACTCGCATAATCTGTTAACCTTACTTCTGTAACTCTCTCTATTTCACTGAAAATTCGCTTCTGCTTGTTTACCAACATTAAAGTCTAGACTAACTGAACTGAATGCCGAGTGGTTAGCTTGCCCAAATTGTAAATCCGAAGATTCAAGTTCGAAACTCGTTGCAACAAAAACGCGCTCCTCATTTTGGGGCCATTGTTGCGCTACAGAATGAGGGTTCAATGCCACTGTTTGATCAAGCAAGAGATGTTATAATTTCCAACTCTCATTGACCTTACCCGTTATCCTGATCCAAAGTTATTGTTGTCATTATCACAACCTTTCCCTTTGTAAGATATTAAAATGAGTTTGAATAAACCAAGTATTTTCTGTGACAGAGTTCTAGTTACAGCATTTCTGAAGACTGCATCTAAATATATATTTTTTTAAATACCATTTAGGGTTATAGTAAAACGTAGTTCTTGGATCATTGTTGTGTTTGATGGTTTGTCGACTAATATAGTATTTTGTCAGCTGGATCGAGTATTTTTGCATGGTTAGCTTTTCAGATTTCTTGAAAGTTGTCGAACTAATGTCGTTGTTAGTGATTAATTCTAGAATCATTATCACCTTTTGTTTCTCGTATTATTGTAGTATTTATTTATTTGAAAAACTATTGTTTTGTTGTTAGTTAGGGCTGTTTTCCCCCTGTGTAGTTATCTGATTTGTTTTAGTTGTCAGGGTACTCTATAGTATAAATATTTAAAGTACTTTGCCGTTTTCTTGTACTAATGTACCAACGTAGTTAAAAAATACCTTAGGACTGTAGTGAGAAACTAGTGTTCAATTGTTGGACCGTAATAAGACAAACATATGGCTGTAGTGAGAAACTAGTGTTCAATTGTTGGACCTTAATAAGACAAACATATGGCTGTAGTGAGAAACTAGTGTTCAATTGTTGGACCGTAATAAGACAAACATATGGCTGTAGTGAGAAACTAGTGTTCAATTGTTGGACCGTAATAAGACAAACATATGGCTGTAGTGAGAAACTAGTGTTCAATTGTTGGACCTTAATAAGACAAACATATGGCTGTAGTGAGAAACTAGTGTTCAATTGTTGGACCTGAATAAGACAAACATATGGCTGCAGTGAGAGGTTAGTGAAGGTCTACTGCCTGCCGTAGTATAAAACTGTTAAGATTCTGGTAAGAAACTACTGTATTTACTACCTTGAAAAACTCTCTCACACTTGTCCTAAAAATGTGACTTATTTTTCTCGTGAAAAAATCTATTAGAAATGAACTGAGAAACTAGCCTTTGATTATAATGAAAAGTTAACTCGTTGCTATAGTCGAAACTACGTTACAGTTGAAGTGAGAAATGTGTTTGGAATGAAGTGTAGAAACAAATTAAAAAGTGTAATTGAAAACTACTTTATAACCACATAATAAAATAATAAAAAATTAGTGTACAATTGTCTGAAGAGCAAACGTGTTAAAACTATATAATTAAAACTTAATTTACGACTGTATGATAAAACGACTAGCTTGCGACTAAGTAATGAAAAACTAGTTAATGAATGTATTATGAAAACTAACCTAGCAACTATGATGAGAAACTAGTTTTCGACTTTATAATGAAAAGCTAGCTTACGATTGTGAAATGAAAAACTAGCTTAGGAATACATAATGATAAACTAATTCACGACTGTATAATGAAAAACTAACTTACGACTCTGTAATAAAACTAGCTTAAGACTCTAACTTTGTTATGAAAACCAGCATAAGACTGTTTACAACTTTATAATAAGAAGTTAGCTTACACCTGTATTACGAAAAACTAGCTTACAACTGTATAATGAAAAACAAGCTTATGAATATTTTGAATGCTAAAACTATTTTATGACTGACTTCAAATTAAGTACATGTCATAGAAGTTGCCATATGCGCGTATAAATAACCCCATTTTTGGCTGAAGTGTTTCCTTTCATACTCGAAATACTATTAGCTTCTAAGAAGAATGTGCGTGTGTGTATATTATACTCGTATATAATTAATAAATAACCTTTAACAGAAGTAGATGCTTTATCTCAAGTTAGCTCCAAACCTTTGACTGGTGCTAGGTTTAAAACAGCTTGACTTTCTCTTGAGGAAATTAGGTACTTAATAGTCTAAAAAGGCTTATTTTTTATTAATTGTTAAGCATAAAGCTACACAATGAGCTTTACCCGTTGCAGGTATCGAAACCCGATTTTTAGCGTTATAAGCTCACATATTTCCTGCTGAGCCACTAAGGGGCAGGCTTAAGGCAGTCAAGCTGGTTATCTTATGCTCTTTACAGAATAAATTGAAAGATAACTCAGCACGTTCGCACAGTGCTTGAATATTTCACTCTTTGTAAATAACAGTAGCTCAAAACCTCATCCTATTAATGCTCATTCACAGCTGTTAAGCTTTTCTGTCCCGATGACTGTTTCCAAATTATTCACGCCATATTTAGAAACTAAAGACAAAATGAAACGAGATTTGTCAAATATGGTGTGGACGTTGGGGGTTTACAAATTAATAAAACTTAGTTCTAAGTCATGAAACTCTTATGTGTCATTTAACATTCCTGAATGACTTCTACGTGATATTGTATTAAATGTAGTAGTACAACTATTGGTTAGGTTTTCGTTTTCGAATATATTACTGGATTTGTAATATACATATAATGGTATTTATGGTCGTTTACTGGGCAGTTTAACGCCCATGCTACATGTTAAAGTTATTGACGCTATGTTTATAACAACAGAATCATATTAGGTAAAAAAACTTATTCAATTGGGCTACCTGATTTACTTATTGTTGTACTACTTATAAATATTCTTTTATTTAATTTAGTATAATAGAGCTATGAACAAAAAAAAATGGATTGAGAGAAGCTTATATAGGTAGTGTAACTCTTTTTGTAAGGGATATAGAAGTTATTGGCTTTATATGAACTTTCTTCGGTCATTTTGGAACATTAAATTTGCACTGATTATACGAAATGTACTATACGTAATAAGCAGTCTTTCATTAAACTTTTCGTGTGGGGGCGCTACGCAGTTTATGCAAATATATCAAATTAATGTTATGTTTTTTTATTCACTTACAGCCTATCACTAAGACAAAGACTGTCGAGTCACCTTCCTGTGGAGGAGGGGATGACGAGGATGACAAACAGAAGAAAGAGCGGAAACCACTGTAAGTTGTTGAACGTTGAAAAATGTTCACATTTAAAATTGGAGTAGTCAAAAGCTTCGTATTATTCACAGTTATTCGCGTACTTTTAACTGGTATAGCATCAAGGCTTTAAACTTTGCGACAGACTCCTTTTCAAACCACGCACTTCACTGAGAAAAAAGAAACGAAAAATAATTGCTTCTTTAGCTCTAAACATCGACGTTTTATTTCTTGAAAAAAGAAAAAAAAACGGAACTCACAATCTGTACTTTAGGAACAATTTACAAAAGGTTTAAGGTAGAAGATAAAGAAAAAAGTCTTATGACGTAAATCCAAATGAATAGTTTTGTTGAGTCTGTAACTTTGGCTGACAGTCCACTTGTATGACAACATTTCTAAGGAAACGGCAGTTTTTAACTTTTACGGATGCACTGCCTGGTAGTGACGTCACATTTTCATAACTGTCTGGTTGGATAGTTAACTCGATATAATCTGCTTCATTTTTATTTTATCAAAAGAAGGAAGGTCATCAATCCCGGAAGTTCCCCCGAATAGTCTAGGTACCTTAAACATTAAAACGAACGATATAGCATAAAATAAAAAAGAAAACCTTTTGAAAGGAACAGATTGTAGGACAAGGAGTTGGATCTTTGAGAAGTTAAGAGTTCGCTGGCTTTGCATTTCAACAGCAGACGCCAGGAGTTCTTCAAGTGTTTAGCAACAACTGCATAAGCTCTCTAAGTTGTCAAAGCTGACGTTAAACTTGAGTTCTTCATAGAACTGATAGGAAATTTTCAAAGCTTTGGTCGCAGCCGAGTTTATCTTAGACGCTGTAGTTGATTCTAAGTCCATCGTACCATCATATAAACCCAGACTTAGTTCTTCTGATGTAAGTTAGTACTACTTGGCACTATACTAATTCTTTGTAGCTACATGATTTTGTTTATCTATAAGGCCAAGCAAAGTTATTTTGAAGTTTCCGTTATTTTAAGCAAGCTGTTAGTAAATAAGAATGTAGCTTTCGTAAGTCATGTTTACGAATTTCAAAGTAAATTCCTCAACTAAAACATCTAGTATTTTTGTGTATTCTATTTTACTATTTTTTTACAGTTTTTATCTCTTTGAACACTATGAAAAATTAAAATTTAGACTAATATTATTACTTTAATTTTTCAGTTACATGTTTTACAGTTGTCTTGCATGTTTAAGCGCAAACTTAAATAATGGGCTATCTGTATTGTGCCCGCTGCAGGATCGAAATCGGATTTTAGGCTTTAACTTAAGCTCTCAAGCTTAACACTGATCCACTTTAGGGTTTCATAATTGTCTTTCAGTTATTTCACTATCCATAAAATAGGGCAATCTGTTGATCATATATTGCTAGTTAATACACGACAACTGGTGTTTGAAAAAGACGTAGAATATTATAGGTGTTAATGATAATTTTAAGAAATAGAAAAACAAATGCAGTAATAATAACAAATCGTGTTAATACACTTTAAAATATTCAAAGTAAAACTTACAATTTTTGATATTATACCAAATATACAGTTCGTTTTATCATGACTATACTTCATGTAGGGCTCAAGATATTAAGTTCAGACTTAGCTTTCTTCGCCGAAAACAGGCGGACGTTTCCCTCCAACAGTCCGTCAGACCTCCTCCCGAAGAAGTTCAGAAGTGGTCGGAGTCTTTCCAAGAACTCATGGCTAGCAAATGTACGTTGTAGTGATGTGTGTATATTGCATATTATTTTTAGTTTAGAAATTCTAAACAGTAAAGTTTTGGCTTTACGCTTGAGGGTGACCTGTCGATAGTGCTAATACAGTAAGGGCTTTATAATGTGATTTAACAAACTTTATTGACCCAACCTAGTTGTTAAAGACATCATTAGATACCTACATACTTTTTACACGTGAAATTGGGTGAATATAAGGAAATGTTCTATTTTGCTTATAGATGGGCTGGCTTTGTTCAGAGCTTTCTTGTCAAGAGAGTTCAGTGAAGAGAACATCGAGTTCTGGTTAGCTTGTGAAGAGTTCAAAAAATCTCGGATTAACAAGCTTTCGTCTAAAGCCTGGAAAATATACAATGACTTTATTGCTGTCCAAGCACCCAGAGAGGTAAGACAACTTCATTTCAGTACAGTAGTATATCCATGTAATGTGTGCATCCTAATAACTTCTTTCTAGTACAGTAGTATATCCATGTAATGTGTGCATCCTAATAACTTCTTTCTAGTACAGTAGTATATCCATGTAATGTGTGCATCCTAATAACTTCATTCCAGTACAGTAGTATATCCATGTAATGTGTGCATCCTAATAACTTCATTCCAGTACAGTAGTATATCCATGTAATGTGTGCATCCTAATAACTTCATTCCAGTACAGTAGTATATCCATGTAATGTATGCATCCTAATAACTTCTTTCTAGTACAGTAGTATATCCATGTAATGTGTGCATCCTAATAACTTCTTTTCAGTACAGTAGTATATCCATGTAATGTGTGCATCCTAATAACTTCTTTCTAGTACAGTAGTATATCCATGTAATGTGTGCATCCTAATAACTTCTTTTCAGTACAGTAGTATATCCATGTAATGTGTGCATCCTAATAACTTCTTTCCAGTACAGTAGTATATCCATGTAATGTGTGCATCCTAATAACTTCATTCCAGTACAGCAGTATATCCATGTAATGTGTGCATCCTAATAACTTCATTCCAGTACAGTAGTATATCCATGTAACGTTTGAGTCGCCATTTTTGATTTTCCTACCAATTCAAATTCGAAAGTGATTGCCGCAAATCTTTACGGCAAATGACATATTGGTTAGAAAAAAAAAGATTGCGAGTCTGTATCATTAGTTTTAAGACAAAATTTAAATGAAAAGATTTTAGCGGAAAAATAAAGGTTTCCGAAATTCATTATTTTGCCCTTTGAATTTCATAAATGTTTCTCTCTTTTTCTTACTTTCGAAATATTCAGTTATTAAGGAGAGGTGTTTTCTGTTTACTTTTTGTTGAAGGAGACTAGAAACAATTATATATTAAAGTTTATATTTTGTAAAATTGATAGATTATTCGATATAACTATTTGAGATAAGTTGCTGTAGATTCCAATATTTGTCTTCATAGGTGACCTAAAAAACGTTTGAATTTTTAAATTGATGAAAGAATAAAATAAAGCAAAAATCAATCCCGTTCATCGACAAGAAATTATTTCATTAACTTGATTATGTGCCGTTCAGGATTTTAATGTATTCATGTTTGTCACTGGACGAGCTACTATTTTTATTTTATTTATATTTCGTCTTTTTCTCTTTGCCTAAACGAATTTTTGCGTTAATGTGAAGCTCGTCTTCAAATTGTAACTATATGAATTAGATATATAACGAAAATATTATCGTGGTAATCTTAGCAACAATAATTGTAAACTACATTGAAACTTCCTTCAATATTTTCAAACATTAATATTATAGCTAATTATTAACTGTACCATCCAATGAAAGGCCACCTACGTTCTCTTTATAGATCATCTTCACATCCCTTTTATTTTCCTTGTCAGTGAATTTAGTTAATATTTAGTGTTAGATTGTTATCTTTCTATAGATTATTAAATGATGTTGATTAAGCCTCAATTTTTCACTTTGATTTACCAGTTTTTGAGGATTATATATATATAAATATAATACGACTTTTTGTTGTAATTTCATATAATTTAAATAAGAACTATGAGTTTCTATCATGACCTTAAAATATGTCCCGTATTTTCCCTTCTTACCCAGGTGAATCTTGACTCTACGACGCGAAACACCATATTTAATAACCTCTCAAACCCAGACCATCATTCATTTGATCTAGCTCAAAAGCGGATCCAAGGTCTGATGGAACGAGATACTTATCTACGTTTTCTCCAGTCTGAACTGTATCTAGAACTTCTTCAGGAAAACAGTTCTACGTGAATTTCGAAACACTTCAGTGATTCCCAAGATCAAAACTAAGAGACGATGATATCTTAAAATCATGAAGACCCAGGAATGAATTTGTACTGAAGTGATTCGATGGAATAGAATGGTAATATCGTTCTATATTACAGATAGCATTTTAATCCATTGCTGTCGAACAACAAGTGTTGTTGTTGTTGTTGTTTTTTAGCGGTGGGGGCTTTATGACCATAACAACCACTAGGCAAGATTTCTAGTCATCTACTTACTAAGCGAACAGGTAACTTATGCGATTGCTGTATAGACTTAAATGCAAGTGGTTCTGTTGCTAGGATCAAGACTTCATAATTAGACTAAAAGATGCTGAAAAAAATATAGACTATGGAAAAGTAATTTTTGACTTAGATGCCATGAACCAACAGAGTTAACTAGCTATATCTCTTTGGTAATCCTTGTCGATTAGTTTCTTACGATTTTACAAAAGAAATTGCAGCATTGGCGGGAAAAATGAACACTATAATGTCAGCGTAAAACAAAAGATTCGCATATGAACACATTAACTGTAGTATTTTTGTTGAAATGCTTGAGATTTGATAAATACGCCATCAAGTAGTGGTCGTGCAACTTCAGTGTGAATGTGATCTATACCAGGAAGCAGGTTTGAAATCACATATTTGTTGTAGAAAGAAAATAATGTTTAATTCTTCGAAGTTGCTAAAGATATTTCACGGACTAAATCGAACGAATTAGTTTAGAACATAGTATATAACTACATTGTGTGAAACTCTGATATATATATATATTCTTCCGTCTTGGAAATACTGTAAACATTCCAACTTTAATTGTATCAACACTCCAACGTAATATTTAATTTTTTTATTGTTGTTGCAAAATATATACTATCATTTATGATCAGTGGCGTAAAAACTGGTAACCGATAAACGATATGAACTAGTGCTTATTCTACATTACTTAAATTTTAACCGTAAATAAAGTTTGTTTCTTATTAAGCACAAAGCTACACAATGGACTATCTTTCCTTTGCCCACAGCGAGTATCCAAACCCGATTTGTAGTAGTATAAGCCTAGATTTACCGCTGAACAACAAGGGAGCTGTAAATAAAGATAACTGAAGAGAACCGTTCTGAAAAGATTTTAGTTATTGCTGAATAGCGACATATAAATTGTGTTATTTATTCAACTATCAAAAGTAAACTAATTTGCATTTTAATATATTTTTAACATGCAGAAATATTTATGAGACTGGTACTTTTTAAAATTATTGCTATATATCTCTGATTTTCATGTAGTTTCACCTTTGACCGACATACTAGAATTCTATTGCCGTGTCTCGCAATAAGTTTCAGAACTTACAATACTAAAGTTTGGGGTTCGATTTCCCGTAGTGGACAGAGCTCGGATAGCTCATTGTTCTTTCTAAACTATGTTGCCCTCCCCCCCAGTGGCACAGCGGTATATCTGCGGACGTACAATGCTAGAATCCGGGTTTCTATACCCGTGGTGGGCAGAGCACAGATAGCCCATTGTATAGCTTTGTGCTTAATTACAAACAATCTAAACTATGTGAAGTAGGATAGTAACATTATCGTTTTTTATGCTTCGATTCCATCGTTCTAGCCAATCAAATATCTGCAATTCACATATGCGCCAATTAAAATTAGTCTTCTAGGTCGAAACAATTTTTGTTTGAAAAATTGTAGAAGGAGCATATTGCTGCTATTATCAAACCAGATTTTATGTAAAATACTACAACTTTTCCCCAAAACAAATGTTTAAAAATATTAGTTTCCGCTAATTATTATGTCACACGAAACTAGAGTTAGTGCTGTAGAAAGATAACACTAAAAACTGCTTTACAGAAGCTTTAGAATATTTCTATTGGAACTAAATAACGTTTGAATAATGATTTATATAAATGTGTAGAATCTATGAATACAGAATATTAGTTTTATACAAATATGGATTGTAACCGCTTGATCTTCAACCAATAATCTAATTACCGGCCTCTCGAACCGAAATGTATTTGAAAGTATTGACGAATTTGCTTTGCAATGGAGAACTTCATAATTATTAATATAGTTGCTAAGTAACAGTAGCTTTTAAACCACAGTAATTTCAGTGCATGGATAAATGCAAAACAAATGTTACTATGGCAACAAAATGAGGGAAAAAGTTGTTAGTATGACAACAAAATTAATTCCGATCTCAAGGGATTTTAAAAAGTATCATTCTATATTTTATTTCTTGACGTTGTACATGCGTATGGAATTGGTGAGATGAAGATAACACGTGTTATTACATGGGGCTGATCTCAGGATGACACTGTGTGATGTTTACCGCGTGTGTTGTTTAATCCCTAGAACGCGCATATTTGTGATATAAGTGCAATGTATGCCTTGACGTTGATCTATTTATAGAAATTTCTGTTGTTGTGAGTGTGCAGAAATCGATCCTTTCTGTGTTAGAATGTTTCAGAGTGGTGGCGTTAGTACCATTAAAACTCGATAAAAAAATTCTAAAAATTTTATCTTCATTGTGTACATACTGTCCAAAAATTTACATTCTCAAATTAAGTTATTCACAAACAGGTATTAACAATAATTCACAGATAAAGAATTTTCTTCTGAAAAGAGAGAAACACGTAATAATTGACAAAAATATTAACGTTGACTGAGATCCAGAAACTTGTATCCCAGAGTTTACAGTAGTCAGATTAAAAAAAAATTACATTTTATTATAGCTTATCGAAAACCCATATCAGCATATTCACTGTTTTCTCCATAACTGTATACAAGTAAATTCGTAGAATTTGTCCATGTCAGTGAATGTATTTTGCTATTATTTATCATGAATTACGAGTTTTGTGAAGTTAGAATAACAGAAATAAAACATTTGACATTTCCTGATGATGTTTTGTTTTATTAAAACGCATTTGTATACGATTAACAAGACTGATGTAGTTTACAAAACTCAAAAACTGTTTGCACGTTATTAAAAGTAAAAATTTGTTGAAGCTCCATCTTTCGACTGAACAGATACAATTGGATGTTGTTGTTTTTTTTTGTGCGTGTTTGTGATTAAGTCACAGACTGAGCTAAATGATAGATGAGTTTTATATTTGGAAGAATATTAAATTTGCATATTTTATCATTTTTCATATCCACGTTTCAAATCTTCTTTTTTTAAAGTTTGTATCAAAAATTCATCTTCAAGAATGGTACTTAGATATTCACGATCCACGCATTTGGTCTGTATGAACAAAAATTATGAAACTGACAATATATTGTACCGACATTTTTCTTTACGTCTTAAATATTAGGGTTTAATTTTAACACCCGAAATCCGTTCACAAAATCCTTACCAACACAGGATACTAATAAATCAAATAATCTTTTTGTTTTGGAAAAATAATTAGTCATCAAACACATAGCTAGATGAACTGTTATGTCAATAAAGTAAACATTAAAAATGAAGAAAAAGTATTATATATACACGACTCGAACTATTCCGTAATCAAACCTCCCTTGTTAGTATAGGACTGATGAAAGTTTCATAAAAGCACTAATGCACGCAATTCTGAAATCAGTAAAATTAGTAATTTGAAAAAAATAAAACAGCAAATTCACACAAAAAAAGAAAAAAAAACGAATGTTGGGATGAGTTTATATGCATAACGTCTAAAATAAGCAAGCCGCTACAATCAGGGTTCTTAAACAACAACAGAAAAAAATAAATTTATTCAACTATAACAACACTTAGAAATAAATTCAACACTTACCAAAACACAGCACATCTAAACTGAACACGTCGCTACAATCAGGTTTCAACAACAAATTTATTTACAACTAGCTGGAGTACTAGCCCCAGACCCCCAGTGGCACAGTGCTAGAGGCCGGGTTTCGATACCCGTGGTGGGCAGAGCACAGATAGCCCTTTGTGTAGCTTTGTGCTTAATTACACACAAACAATAAAACGAAATCGTCAGAATGTAAACTGAAAACAGCTAATAAAAAGGGGAGGAAAGGTCTCATAGATAAATTAACTCTAATCCTGCCTAAAAGAATTTCAAGTGCCGGGGCTATTGAGGATTCCCTCTTGTTCTGTGTTGTTGTTGTTATTTTAAATCCTTGTACACCATATCCACCGTAATGTGTTATGTCCATAGTACAGGTTTGGTCTAAGTTGTGGAAGTTTATTTCGGTCTGACAATCATCTTGTGGTTCATATTTATTCTGGCCGGCATGGCCAGGTGGTTAAGGCACTCGACTCCCAATCTGAGGTTCGCGGGTTCGAGTCCCCGTCACACCAAACATGCTCGCCCTTTCAGCCGTGGGGGCGTTATAAATTAGGGACGGCTAGTGCAGATAGCCCTCGTGTAGCTTTGCGCGAAATTCAAAACAAACATATTTGTTATATTATATTTATGTATATCATCTGGGTCATAACTAAAAGAATTGAGCACAGCAAGATTGCTCTCGACTAACACACATCGGCAAGGAGGAATAAAACGCGAACCTAATTTATTATGGGAAATCCATGGGATTAACCACGTATCCTTTTGATCAACAAGCATCTGAAATTTAGTTTTGGTAATTCTTCAAACATCTAACCCAAAAAATAGTTCTCAGCCATCTTAAATAGTTAAATGTACTTTTAACGTTCTTGTCTTCCAAATTTTCATCTTAAGAATTAAAATTTTGCAGGGTTGCTTATCGATTCGGAAAATGATTAACTTTATGCATATATTTTGCTTGTCCTATTATCTAGGGTTAATTTGCTTTAAAAAGGATTCGCATCTACAAATAAAATTATGTTTTTAACTAGAGCTACGTGTGGTGTCATCTAGTGAGTCTTAATTGAAACTCAAGTTATTAGTTTTTTTTTGTTTCTCAAATAAAACAAATTCTGGCACCTAGTTTAAACAATGAAATATAGGTGGACTTTGACACAATAGTATAATCTTCTTCGATGTTTCTTACTGTATTTTTTTATTTTTGTAGTTAAAATATTAATAGTAAGCAATTGCGATGATAAAAGCGGTATTTCTGCGGACTTACAACACTAGAAACCGGGTTTCGATACCCGTGGTGGGCAGAGCACAGATAGCCCATTGTGTAGCTTTGTGCTTACTTTGTTTTTGAATTTCGCGCAAAGCTACACGAGGGCTATTTTCGCCAGCTGTCCCTAATTTAGCAATGTAAGACTAGAGGGAAAGCAGCTAGTCATCACCACCCACCGTTAACTCTTGGGCTACTCTTTTACCAACGAATAGTGGGATTGACCGTAACATTATAACGCCCCCACGGCGAGCATGTTTGGTGGGACGGGGATTCGAACCCTCGACCCGTAGATTGCGAGTCGAGCGCCTTATCAACCTGACCATGCCGGGCCTTGTGCTTAGTTTCAAAGAAACAAAAGTCGATGATAAAATGTGATTCATCCTTAGGTTTTCGTGTAAAATACTTTGCTAAGACGTTCATTTAATTTTACAACCTTTACTCCTATACTTATATAAGTATTGATCAGCTCAAATACTAACCCAAGTATGTAGTTGACAAAGAATACCGTATTGTTGTCTGTAACTACTGGGAGAGACAAAAAAAAGCATTATAAAAGCATTATCATAAAATAACAACTGGTAATTTGAATTTGCTCCAATGAGATAATTTAAACAGGAAAACTTCACTGAGAATTAGTTACAATTACAGTAAAAAGTTGGTCATAGTTTTATAACAGAATCCTGATGTTGTGACACCTGGAGCTACCATAGTTTTATAACAGAAACTCGATGTTGTGACACCTTGAGATACCATAGTTTTATAACAGAATCTTGATGTTGTGACACCTGGAGCTACCATAGTTTTATAACAGAAACTCGATGTTGTGACACCTTGAGATACCATAGTTTTATAACAGAATCCTGATGTTGTGACACCTGGAGATACCATAGTTTTATAACAGAATCTTGATGTTGTGACACCTGGAGATACCATAGTTTTATAACAGAATCTTGATGTTGTGACACCTGGAGCTACCATAGTTTTATAACAGAAACTCGATGTTGTGACACCTTGAGATACCATAGTTTCCTTTCATTTTTGACTTATAAAAGTAAACTTTATTTTTATCAAAACTGTTAAAACTTTTTGAGACATATCCACTATTAGAGCTGATGTAGATTTTCAGACATAGAACATTCATCTTGTGCAATACCTGACCTTATTTCGTATTCGAGTGACACACGGTCATATTTTTAGACGTTTCTCACAACGATGTTAATGGAGATTTGTTTTCGGTTCTCTAGTAACATTTCCGTGTTTTAGTTTAGAGGTAAAACTCTTCATACTTTCACATGGACCAAACATAAACGTGGGGAGTTCCTGCGTGATGAGAGGGGTGACGTTATTGATTCTGTCTTTATGATGTCATACTCTTGTTAAGATCGCTAATTGCCTTTTTGAGTGTGGATGTTCACATCGTGGGAGAGTTAATATTACTGAAGAAAAATATCACACCGTTGGTCTCAAACATAAATTTAATTTTATTACATAACTGTGTGTTATTCTTCTTCAGTGATATTAACTTTCTCAAAATATAATGATCTCTCCGTCTAGAAAAGAAGCTTTACAAAATTCTCCTAAATACCTTCAGTATATCCAGAAGATCAGTTCAATGTTCTGTGTACTAATCCTTTTTTTTTTACCTGTTGGTGATGTTGTGAATAAAGATTGATTTTACAGTGTTCAATTTTTATTCTACATCTCAGGCCAGTCAAGTTTTCAGCATTAACTGTGTTTAAATCATTTGTTATTTTCAGTGCAACTCATACTTGTCAGTAATCAGTGAACCATAAAGTAAGGTAGATGGGAGAAGTTTGGTGCCATGACCAAATGTTTTTTAGTATTTTTTATATATATTTGTTTATTTATTTTTTGCAGAGTTTGTCTGATTTTTTGATGGGTGTACTTTTCCGTTTTCCTTTATACTCTTGGATAGAGTAAGTTTTGTACTTTGGTAAAACTTGGAAATGACATTTTGCGGATGAAGGACTTATGCACAAGGTGGCGAGTTTGAAATTGTGGGTGGACTGTAATCCGAGAGAGAGAGAATAGCAAGGTTTATGAGAAGTTCTCCTTCTGTACATAGGCCGAGTTTGAAACTGTGGGTGGACTGTAATCCGAGAGAGAGAGAACAGCAAGGTTTATGAGAAGTTCTCCTCCTGTACATAGGCCGAGTTTGAAATTGTGGGTGGACTGTAATCCGAGAGAGAGAGAATAGCAAGGTTTATGAGAAGTTCTCCTCCTGTACATAGGCCGAGTTTGAAACTGTGGGTGGACTGTAATCCGAGAGAGAGAGAATAGCAAGGTTTATGAGAAGTTCTCCTCCTGTACATAAGCCTTTCACCAATGACCAATGGAGCAGATGAGAGCCACTCCGAGAAAGATAATGTGCTTCTTGGACAACATTGTGAAGATGAGTTTCCTACAGCAACTAGCGATTCTTCTGCCCAGGAGCAGGGATCAAACCTTCGTCCAAATGTAAGGGTCTCTGGA